ATTTGCTTAGTTTGAAGATTTATTTCCTAAACTATAAACTATTTTAAAAGATATTTGACCAATCACAACTTATGGATGGATGGGTGGATGGATGGATGGATGGATGGATGGATGGATGGATGGATGGATGGATGGATGGATGGATGGATGGATGGAGCTTTGCATCATCCTTTCAGAAATTCTGTGAAAATGTAGAAATGAATATTAATAAAATGAATACGATATCCTGATAAGATGAGAATAAAATCATATTACCATATTCCTCATTTCATACACGTTTTCATTGTATTATTGATGTTTCTGTCTGCAGGTCTGATCATTGATGCCTTTGGTGAGCTCAGAGACCAGCAGGAGCAGGTCAGGGAGGACATGGAGGTAAGATACTAAACTGCAGTTTGACTAAAATTGCACTTTTGCTTAATCTACCTTTTGCTACCATTAAGCTTTTATTTCTTGAAAGATAAAGGTGCATTTAATCTGACCTCCATGTTTCCCTTTCAGACCAAGTGCTTCATCTGTGGAATAGGAAGTGACTACTTTGATACGACGCCGCATGGCTTTGAAACGCACACCTTGGAAGAGCATAATTTAGCCAACTATATGTGAGTTGAGTCATATTTTGCAGTTATACTTTAGGTGAAATCATAACATGGTTTTAAAAGAAGATACAAAACAGCTCGAGTCTTTCTCATTGTGCTTTTTTTGTAAAGAAACTATTAAATCATATTTATTGCAAAGATGAAAGGTTGAACCACTTAATTATACCTTAGGAAACTGCAGATGTTTGATTTAATGTTGATCAAGCAAGACACAGACGTTCCATGTAGGCTCCAAGGAGCATGTTTTGATTTATAAATTATGAATTAACAAAACTTGACTGAGGAAATGATGCATTATTTTGGTTCTTTCAGGTTCTTCTTGATGTATCTCATCAATAAGGATGAAACTGAACACACAGGGCAGGTCGGTCATTTAGAAAGTAAACCTATCAATTGGTCAAGAATGCTGTTTCTTTATGCTCTTAAACCTGTATGGTTCGTTTTTTCTTTTGTTTTTTAGGAGTCCTATGTGTGGAAGATGTACCAGGAGAGATGCTGGGACTTCTTCCCTGCTGGTGACTGCTTCAGAAAGCAGTATGAGGACCAGCTTGGCTAACATCCCTGCATATTTATTGTTCCTTCCCAAAGAGAAGGGAAGGAGAAAGGAACAAGAACCAGAGCAAAACAACAAAAAAAGTCGGAAATTTAGAGCTTGATCTAATCGGTGTCTTAGTTCTGTCATTTGTCTGCACATTTTTCTCGTCTGTTAAAAGCTATGCACAGTTTGACTGCACTTTTCAACCACCTGCAGCAGAATGTTAAGGAAAGTGATCCTAGAGGTGAGGGGGAAAACAGAGCAAAACCAAGAGCCTTTTGATTCTGCTGTAAACACATGGCCTTTCCTGTGTAAATTATACATAGATTGCCTTGTATCTCCACTGCGCCTGTACACACGGGGCTATTTTAGTCACTACTGCTGTAAACATTCTAGTGCCTATAGCAATGTCACTGCTTTAGCTGTCAGTTTGAATCTTTAATTTCAGTAAATCCTGAACATGTCAACATTTGTAAAGTCTGAGGGCTTTTGCACCCTGTCTTATGGAAAAATGTCAAAATGTCACAAAATATGGGGAAACACATTTATTTTCCGTGACTGTGAGCCATTGTGGATTCCCAGTTATCTAGTTTTTGTTTTCTAAAAGAAGTTTAAACCGCCATTTAAAAGGCATCTTCAGTTCTGATCATGTGCTAGGAGATTCAGTCTTCTATATCCTTATTAGGACAATCACACCTGTCCCACTCTGTGAGCCATTTGGGTCACTTTAGTATTATTTATATGTATTGAGGTTCATGTTTCAAGCATTTTTTTTTGTATTTCGATGAGTTGTTTTTTTCTTTTTAACCATTATTGTCTTTTTCAATGCATCTTAAACCCTAGTTTGGAACTGGTTGGGTGAAAAAATTGTGACAAACCCACAAAAAAACCGGCTTTGACAGATCCAAAATCAATCTTTATTTTCCAAGCGTCTGGTCTTCCTTCTGATTTGAAAAGTACTGCATGTTTAATGTGACTCAATGCTTATTATGGGTGAATTCTTCAACGATCCATTTATTGTGCCTCGCACTGAAAGTATGAAGCCAGATTTGGCTCAGTTGGGAGGAGCAAGTTTTGGAATTTTGAAATAAAAGCTTCACATAAGCGTTTATGAACTGAAACATTTGGACTGACCTCATTAAGATGTAACTCAAGTATGAGATAAAACTGTGCAAATCCACTATCAGATGTGTCCCTGGATGTTTGTGGACTCTAGTCTTCATCGCGTTTCTGTTGTAATAGAAAGTGATACGAACATTCATCCAAGAGGGACACCGATGTGGTTTATTCTACACAGATCAAACCTAGAATGAGAGTTCATGCACAAAGTCGCTGCACTGAATTGAGTGTTGAATGTATCTAATGAGAACATGATGATAAGAAATGTTTTACATACATGATGGATTCTTATATTTATTATTCTTTAAGGTTCTGAGATATGATAATAATGTTGTTTTCAGACACAGACATGTCGCAGACCAAGGATGAGAAAGATAATTAGTCTTACAATGAGGGGAACCTCCAGTTTGATGGTAGAGACAAAATATTTGCTTTTATTTCAGCTCGTTAGGTTTTTATCATAGATGTTTTTAGTAATTCAGCATAAAGATGCGTTGATTTCTGACAGATTCACAAACTCTCCATCCTATGTTTATGTTGGAGCTGTCAGAGGCAGAGTTGTGGTTTGGTTGCAAATGGTTTTGCAGGTGGAGCTGATGGTTTGAAGATGAATGGAGGTCACAACTTTCCACTTGATTGAGTGTCCTCTGACTAAACCCTGTGTTTCAATATGGAATAAACAGATTATTTTAAGGAGAACCAGAACATGTCTCATTTGTGTTTTAGCTTTCAGCCGTTTGTGATTTAAGGGAACATCAACTTTATGTCCGAGTTGCAACAAATAATTTTAATATGGTTTAAATAGATTTTATTTCTCAGACTAACATGAAGTAGCATCCATTGACAATTAAAAATGTTTTTCAACTTTTGCTCTATTTTTTTCTGTTACAAAATAGAACTGTTTCTTTTAATTCAGCAAACAAACTGCTTTCAGAAGGCACCCAGTTCAGAAACAAAGTCCACCTGTGTGTGAGATTTAAACTTAGTTTTAGTTGTCTAAGGGCCTTAGATCATTTTTTGGAGAAAATTGGAACTTAAACAGCATTTTGAAGCCTGAAAACACAACAGAGGGGTCGGTAAGTGAGTTGTGGAGAATTTTAACCTCTTAATATCCACCTCATTTCTGGGAAATTTGCCTGTTCTGCATACCCAAATGGAAACACAAATAACTTAGGAACTATAAGCACTAACATGTGTTATACATTATTTGAAAACTTCTAGTTTCTGATGAAAATTGGGTGAGTAAAACACCCAAGCTGCATCAAGCACAAGCTGAATCAGTTCAAATATGACTCAAAGTTTTTTTCTTTATTTTTGAAAATAATAGATCTTTTGTCTTTTTTAAACAGCAGTAATAAAGACATGCTTGCTTGTTGTGGCTGCTTTGTCATGCCACATTTCGACATGCTCCTATAATTGTGCTTTGGTGCTTGCTATAACCAAAAAATGAACTAGGTGGTTTAATTGTGGAGAATGTAAGCTTTCCGACGTCTAACACACACACACACACACATATATATATATATATCTATCTATATATATATAGATAGATATATATATATCTATATATATATATATAGGTATTTTTCATGCATTCTGAGTTATTTTTTGTAAACAATTTAAAAAGGTTTTGAGAGATTAAAGAAGGGATTTGTAGTAAAACTTTCAAAATTTCTCTTAGCACTGTTCAACCAATCTTTGAGGGGACACATGAGGGCAAAATTGGACAACAATCAACAGACTATCTGTGAGGAGATGTATGGAAAGAAGGCTTAGACAAGAATCTGTTCACAGGAAAGCTATTAGGATAGAATACATTTATGTTGGGAACTACCTGAGGGAGAAACTATGCTGCTCACAGACACAGCTGATTTATTTAAAAGGAGTTGGAGCTGTGGGATGAGTGAAGTTTCGATTCATTATATGTGCAAAGCAAATAAAAATATACATATTACAATCATAATAAAATAAAAGAAGCACAAGGGGTATGAGTGCTTTTGCATCACACTTTACAGTTAAACAAACGTAATTTTAGTTTTAAAGCAAAAGAACAGAACTTGCTGTGAAACACTCAGACTTGTCGCTATATTGTAGATTTTTCCTATGATGAGGTACCCTATAAATACTAGCCCTTTAAATACAGTACCTTGGTTTATAGCATAGCTAATGTATTGGCATAACACCCCTTTCAACTGAGGTTTCATGGTGAATCTTGATGAAAGGTTTATCTTTTGCAAATATGAAATGTACACAAGATTTTCTGAGTAAAAAAGACAGATTGTCTATTAACCTGACAGCTTTTGTTCTGTGAAACATTTGTCCTCATAAACCTGCCGTTCGTGTTGAGATTATCAAGTATTATCATGATTAACCTCCTACCTAAATGGAGTATGAGTACAAAAGAAGGAAAATACCCACGGATACCTGAGCTTCAGGTGAGGATTAGTGTAGTTTCTGTTTACATTGAATAAAAACATGTTTCAATAGGCTCAGAATCAAAATTCTGATAACTGCTTTAAAAAAGAAAAACAGGAAATGCAATCACAATGGAAAGCTTTTTGATCTGGATTAGAAATATGTAGTTAGTTATAATAACTTTCAATAGCTTGAAAATGATGAATGAAGATCTCAACGTGGTTAAAAACAAACAAACACACCCTTTTAGCTTTCATCATCATGTTCTCCTGGGTAAAGATACATCTTTCATCAAAATGAACAATAATGTGATTCAGTTGTGGGCTTGGCTGCTTCTCCCCTCCCCTCCATCATAGTTTATATAAAGCAGAGAGCCCAGCAGGGATCTGTCTCTGACACAAAACACCTGATTTTCCACTGTTTTCTTTCTCATCTGTCTGCCAACATGACTTTTGTCGCTCCTCCAGGCTACCAGCCCGTCTACAATCCTGTGAGTATCCACTGAGGAACTTTTGACTGCATGAAAGTTGGTTCTCTGCAGGACCAATGAGAATAAAGGGGAAAAAATTACCTACTAAAGGAATAAATTTAAGCTTGATTCTTGATGGAGGATTCAGAGCAATTATTGATATGAATAGCAACAGTTTTAAAAGATTGCTTTTTAAAGTCTTTTTAGTAGACGTTAAGAATTAAGAAACAAAGTAAAATGCTTTTTTTCTATAAAATGGTTAAAAAAACATAGAAAAATAATTTAGCTAAAAAAAAATTCCCCTTATAATCTGTGTTGCATTTGTGAGGAAAATGCATTGTTGAGTTGAGCAGCAGAGTGGAAAAACTTGTAAAATCCTCTCTGGAAATGTTACTCTCTAAGCTGTCCCAGCTAGCCCCCACCTAGCAGATTAATCTGCGAGCAGAAGAGTAGAAAACCCAGAACCTGGGTGAGGATAGGAGGGAGTGGCCAGCAGTCCTGACATTAAATACAATAAACTTTGTGTAACTAATTTGGCAATTTTCACAAAGTCCAACAACACAACTACACATTTCCGACTTGGAGCAAACACAGGTTTAAGATGAAGATGCCAACAGAATACCTATGAATTGCACTTGAGTAAGAGTAGCAGTACTTCATCACATAAATACTCAGTAAAAAAGTATTCGGTAGAAAAGCTACCCAAGTACTGAGTAACTTATCTACTAAAATGATCACAACAACTTAATTTTATATTTTACAAAATGGTGCAGAATTTAACAAAAATATTAAATGATATGCAAAAAATAAACATATAATATACAGTAGTTATACAATACAAAGTTTAGGTGGGATGACCACTTCAAAATACATTTTCTGAGTTACAAAATTTACAAAATCAATAGTTACAGTACGTAAGACTAGATTAAATAACAGTATACTGTTTACTGTATTTTTACTCTACCTCCAAACGACATGACAGACTCAGCAGATGGAAAATAAAACATTTAACCAACAAGCCTTGAGCAAAAAAATAAGAAAGTGTCTTTAAATGGTTCATATTTATTTATAACAAGCTTGTCTGTATTAAGTGAAGTTATTCACAATCGATGGAGGAGCTAGAAATTTTACTGAAGTGAGAGTAGTGATATTTCGTCATAATTTTTAGTTAATTCAAAGTAAAACTTCTCCTAAAAAACTACTCCCAAAAGTATTTTCTTTTTTTTTTCAAAATGTTAACAAAGTAAATTTAACTGAGTAAATGTAACTAGTTACTACCCACCTTTGGATGCATACCTACATCAATGTGACCAACAGAAGGAGGAGATGCCAAACAGTTTTGGTTTTAAACTGTTTTCCGATGCACCACTGGTGCCTAGGCTTATCAAATGAGTTAATTCTTAAACTGTGGGAGTATGTTATTTCATTAAAAATAATCTTATGATCCAAAATAGAGTCAATGACGGAATTTCCACTTGGTTTGCTATGTGTAAATTATTAGAATACTTTGTCTCTCTAGAGACATAGACAGGGGGCGGCGCCTCGTGGCAGCGGCCAGGAACAGCTCTCAACATTCAGCTTATTCCCCACTGCTATTAGACCGCTAAATGTTGAATAAAACCATAAATCATATCTCAGTCTTTTGTTTACATTTCATCATCGTGTTTACATTTCATCACTGCTGCACTTAAAGAAATGGAAATGTCCTGAGAGCTGTACTGAATGAAATTTCATTTTGTATACATCCTGTGTGTACAAAATGACAATAACGTTTTTCTAAGTTTTTTTCTACACCAATTCTCATCTATTGGCCTTTTTTTGCCTGTCTAAAAAGCCAGACAGTGAGAGTGGCTGCTGATTTTCATTTAAGTCAGTGTACATTTTGGAGACCAGTATATCACAAAATCTCAACATGTAGCAAGGCTGAAGGTTGCACTTTTAATTCACAAAATAGATCTTTTCTATTTAAAAAGATTTCTCAGCTTCATGGTATTTGAAAGCCATCCTCCTTAATTTTGCCTAATCTCTCTGTGCAGTGCAACAGTGACACTAACATGAAACAGGGCCCACAGCTTGATTCTTCCACCAACATGCTTTACAGTTGGTATAGGGTTCTAAGCTTGGTAGAGCTTCACCCAGCTTCTCTCAGTTTACTTCCTTTCATTGTAGCCAAACCGATTAAAGTATTGTCTGATCAGAAAGCCAGCCTTCTGAAGATATTTCACTTGGTAATAAAGCAGCTAGAAATTGTAGTCGTGGTGACAGGTGTCCATTTTGAAGCTGGGTTTCTTTACTGGTTTTGACTTATGTTGATATTACATTGGCTTCAAATGATAAGTAGCATGCAGACCGATGATGTTTCCAGTTCATAGGTGGCTCAATACTTGGTGGTCTGAGTTTAAAGGTTTTCTCATTACATCTTTACCAAACCACAAAAATGTATTTAAATGTTAAATCTAATAAATTTACACATTATAAGAACATATAAAAAATTGTAACTTTTGCCTCCAGTTATTGTTTTTTGTTATTATTTCAGTTCTGTGTCATATATTCATTTCACACTATGTAAAGAATAATATATTCAATAAAAATAATACATTCAAATTAATCATAAAAAGTCTGTTATTATGATGATGATTTACGATATGCTTCCCCCTTGGTTGGTATATACAGAGGTGTCAAGTAATGAAGTACAAATACTTTGTTACTGTACTTAAGTACACTTTTTGGGTATCTATACTTTACTCCATTAATTATATTTCTCCATACTTCTGACTTCTACTCGTTACATTTTCACACAAGTATCTGTACTTTGTATTCCTTACATTTTTAAAACAAACGTTACTCTTTACTCTTGGCTTCGGTTTATTGTTTATAAATATTTATTTCACGTCATGTGCGCCATCCAATGTAGGTCATTGGTGCCATCCACATCTAGAGAAACCTAGTGTAATTGGATGAGTCATATAACGCAAACACTCATTGGTTACAGTAGCTAAAGGAAATCATCAAGCAAGCAGGTGTTCTTCAAACTACAAACGTGAATTGTCTGTGCCATGCTTCAATGTCGGATTCAGAAAAAGATGTCTAAATGTCTGAAAGGTCGGACACAGGTGAGAGCATATCGGAAGACGGAGACAGAGACCAACAAGACCTCCCTCATCCTTGGCCCTATCTCAAAGAATTTTTTCAAAATAGCTTTCAATTCATATACTGGCATCTGGCTGTTTTTTTTAAAAGGTTACTTTAAGCTTTTATACTTTGAGTAGTTTTTGGATCACATACGTTTTCACTTTTACTTGAGTAAAGAGGTCAAGTTGATACTTCAACTCTTACCAGAGTGTTTCAAACTGCAGTATCTACAGTATACTTCTACTTAAGTAACAAATGTGTGTACTTTTGACAATACTGGGTATATATAACCACAAAAAGCTGTTGTCAAATCTTTAGATAACTTTTTATTCAAAATGCTTTATTTGTGAATGTTAGATATTTTATTCTCATTTTTTTTTAGCCTGATCCATTTCATCAGGAAATAAGAAAATTATTGTCATATTTTCACTCACAAAGACAGTAATCAATACGATAAGCTTTAATATTCTTCTGCTCCATACAGAGAATTCCCTATCTTGGCCCTATCTATGGAGGTCTAAGGGAGGGAGTATCCATCTACATCCAAGGATCTGTTCCTGAAGATATAACCAGGTCAGTTTTAAAAACACTTAAATGTGTCCCTTTTTGCAGCAGTTCAAATGAATCATAGCCTTTTTCTGAAGCTTTGGCGTCCACCAACACCCTCAGACAACTTGGTTATCTCCAGATACACTTTGACCCCAAGTGAACTCTAAAGGTCCACATTGTGTAATCTCTATCTGGGTGGAGTCTGTTTCTTTACACTGTTGTCTCTAAATAAACTCAGGGTTCATTTTTAACATCTGTGGCAGCTCTTTCAGGAAATAGTCATCTTTTATTTCGAGTGTGTACTGAGGCTGTTATTAATCAACATACTCAGTGCAAAGGGTTTATTTTACAACACCCCCCTGCTCCTTTGGTTCCTGGACCCACCTTCACTGTTTACATTGCTTCAGTTTCAGGCGCACCAAGATAATTACATATAATGCCTTACCAAAGCTTGGAACCATTGAATGCTTTCAAGTTGTTTTCACAATACATCCATAAAGCAGGCTTTAAGCAGACTGGTAATAGCTGACAAGCTGGAAGCAGGCTTTGAGCAGACTGGTAATAGCAAACAGGCTTGAAACAGGCTTTGAGCTGACTTTTAATAGCTGACAGGCTTGGAGCAGGCTTGGTTATAGCTGATAGGCTTGAAGCAGGCTTTAAGCTGACTGGTAATAGCTGACAGGCTTGAAACAGGCTTTAAGCTGACTGGTAATAGCTGACAGGCTTGAAACAGGCTTTAAGCTGACTTTTATTAGCTGACATGCTTGATGCAGGCTTGGTTATAGCTGACAGGGTTGAAGCAGGCTTTAAGCAGACTGGTAATAGCTGACAGGGTTGAAGCAGGCTTTAAGCGGACTGGTAATTACTGACAGGCTTGAAGCAGGCTTTAAGCTGACTGGTAATAGCTGAGAGGCTTGAAGCAGGCTTTGAACGGGCAAGTAACAGCTGACAGGCAGGAAACAGGCTTTGAGCTGACTTTCAGTAGCTGACAGGCTTAATGCAGGCTTGGTTATAGCTGACAGGATTGAAGCAGGCTTTAAGTGGACTGGTAATAACTGACAGGCTTGAAACAGGCTTGGTTATAGCTGACAGACTTGAAGCAGGCTTTAAGCGGACTGGTAATTGCTTACAGGCTTGAAGCAGGCTTTAAGCAGACTGTAATGGCTGACAGGCTTGAAGCAG